AAAAAAAAATAAATTTAACAAAAGCTCATTAGCTTAAAAACAAAACCATTTTACACAAGTTGGGGTAAAAGTAATGCAAATGACTGAAAAACCACAGCATCCAACTTTCCACTGATGCCAGAAGAAGATTAAACTCAAAACTATACTTCTAAAGACAGATAAAGCAGATTAAAACACCTAATGATCCCCAAAGCCAATACCTACCAACTTTAATATAAATGTAAACTTTTTGCCATATACCCAGTTAAAGTTTACATGCACAACAGGAGACCGGGCTTTCTCCTGCGCTGCCCCTCGGCTGTGGAATGCCCTGCCTTCATATCTGAGGGCCCCACAGACCGTGACATGTTTTAAAAAGGGTCTAAAAACCTTTTTTACCCAGATTTTTAATTGAATGCACTGTACTTGTGTTTTTTTTATTCACCCGTAGTTCTTATTTGAGTATTTTATCTGCATTTTGTGCATTTTAAGTTTTTGATGTGTTCACTCTGAGCCGTTATCCTCCTGGTTGCTTTTATGGTTACTTTTATCCTGTTGTTATCTGATGTTCACTCTTTGTAGCACTTTGGGATTCACTGTGAATGTAAAGTGCATGCATTATAAATAAAAGTTATTATTATTTTTACTTGTTCTAAACTCTTAAGGTAGGTACCAAACACTAATGCAAGTTCAGTGTTTTCTCTTGTTTACTTGTCTTGGCAGGGCAGTCATATCTTCTGTGATTTTTGTTGACGAGGGTGGGGGAGAGACAAGTCGATGTTGCGCACAGTTTGTACTATCAGTTTTTGAGCATGGGGGTGGGTGAGGTTGGAAACAGCTTGGCGTGAGGGCGACAGTGCGCTATCTCCATAGTTATAGCTTTTTAGCTAGTAAGTCTGTATTGCGTCCCACTAGCTTACACTAGTGTTAGGTCAGTGTCAGAAGTTGTCAACATGGGGGGGGGGGGGGGCTAAATTCTGTTGATGGGGCAGGGCACCCTGCTTGTATAATGTTAGGGGAAACACTGATGTTTCACTAAATGCTTTGGGTTTTAACTACAGTGTCACAGTGGTAGTGTTGGCTGGCCTTCATAAGACAGTGCATATTTCCCAGGAAACTTGTAACCCTTTTGCTTGAATTGTGTCTAATCAGTGAAGTAAATTTAAATACTTCCTTTTTGTAGAGTTGTTCTCTTATATTATTTTACATTAGGGCTGGACGATATGGCCAAAACTTTTATCACGATATATTTCTTAATTTTGCTCGATAATATAATCCCGATATCGATAAACAATATAAAAGCCTCAGAAAAACTGTACAAACTGTACAAATAAATGAATGTTCACCTTCTATTTGTATTTAGCCTTCAAAAAAAATTGAAATCACCATCAAATAAACATAAAACTCTCAACTTTGTCAATATTAATGGTTTTAACTTTAAACAACAACATGACCCATGCAGCAAACGTCTGCGTTTCTCTTTTGATACAGCTGGGGGTGTCGTTTCAGGGACACGTTGGCTCAAACTTTATTGTGCTTCATCTTCTGACTCTCCGCATATTCTATCAAGTGGAAACGTGGAACAAGTTAGATGTGTTCCCACCGCTAGTTGGAACGACTCTCCGACACATTTTGCAGCACACTGAAACCTGCAGTTTCTCAAATCTTAGATAGCCGAACCACTTCCACACCGCCAAATTAGTCTTTTCTCTCTTACCAATTGTCATCTGCCTTCTCTTTGCTTGTGAAAACTTGTTCAGTCGCTCTCATGGGCACTCATTTTGAAGCGAAAACTTAACGCGCATTGGAGCTTAGCCTAGCCTGCTACCGTGCCGACTCCTTCGAGGTCCGTGTGTGGTGTACATCACCACGCACTTACATAGTTGTGTCGCAACTTTATCCGTTCGGGTTGAAATGCCCGCCGGTTGAAGCGGCGTTTTCAACCAAAACAGAAAAAGAAATGTGTCCGTGAAACGCTGTAATCATAGAGTAGTGTATATTTACATATCGAAAATGTGCTTAAAACTCATAATCACCATTATTGGACAAAAGTATATAGTGATATATATTGATATCGAATTATTGCCCAGCCCATTTTACACATACCCTGAGCTGTCCTTTAGCTATGCTGCTATAGGCTTAGACTTCTGGAGGACAAACTGACCACATTTTTTTCCACTCTGCTACCGTGTTTACAAATACAAAACGGGTTGAGTAGAGTAAGTATTTTTTTTTTCTATCCCAACGTGTTTTTGTCTTTCAGATACACCTGGACCTATATCTGGACCTACCATTCAGTGTTCGTCTGTCTCTCCTTCCTGTCCTCTCAAACCAGCCGATCAAAGCAGATGGCTGCTTGTCCTGAACCTGGTTCTGCTGGAGGTAATAAAAACTGAATGCAATGATGTGGAGATGTCAAATGTCAATATTTTATTCGTAATATAACATAGATGAAAGATCAAAAGTTTAATCTGAGTAAATGTAACATTTTAAAAGGAAAAATATGTTGATTCAAAATTTCACAGTGTCAACAAATCCCAAAAAAGTTGGGACCAGTCGCAATA